ATCATTCTCCAATTCAATCGTTTACTATGTCAAAAATGAGTCTCAATATGAGACTAAAAATCTGGAGCAAAACTTTTCGGTTGTAAATTGATTTGTGATCATATTTTGACTAAATTTGATCCCTTTGACATCTTTCCTCATCTAATTGGCTCTGATCACTCTCAAATCTTCATCGTGAGGTTCGGTATAACTTTTCAATGTTTGTCCTTTAGTCCCCGAACTTTAGATCTATTACAATTTAGTCCTTTCCTTTCCAACTTTTGTTTATTTTTTTCAATCTCATCAACCTTCATCACAACATCAAAACACACATAAAAACACTCTAAAACTCTCTCAAAGATGATAAAATAACGAATTAAGTGACATAAATATCATGAGTGTAGAACACTCATCACAACCTGTTCGATTCTCATTATAAACTCAACAGGGCAGTGGCACAAACTTAGTAGGTCAAATGCCTACGAGGTACTGAGGAGTTTAAACAAGGAGAACTTTTTATCAAATTTGTAAATCTATATTTTTTGTTTTGTCCTGATTTTCTTCTTGTCAATATTCAAGTGTATTGGCAAATGTCATGTTTCCAGAATACAGATCAGAGCATAATATAATAAACAAGGAAATTTTGCATGTCCAACCTTATTAGAATTCTAGTTAGTTAGTTAGTTTGTTTGTTAATCTTGCTGAGTTGGCATTACAGTTGTGTTCTCTTTCCTTGTCCAGCTCACTCTTTCTATATAAGAGCTTTAACCAGTGTAATTTCTTTCTTCTTGTGTGAGAATTTTGATTAATAAAGAATTTAATTCTTCTCCTTTTCTCTATCCGTTTCCTTTTGTAAAATGGTATCGGAGCAATTTTAGCTCTGCTAGGGTTCCTATTTTTTTGATCGATTTCATTTCTTCTCTTGATCGATTATGGCACGAGGTGGTAATGCTTGTGGTGGTAATCATAGTGGAAATCGCAATAATGAAGGACGAGCTGGTGGAAACACTGAGAACTATTTCTCCAGTTTAGATCCAAGCAATCGACTCTTCACAGAGGACGCGAACAGTGTTTTCTATCTCAGTAATGCAGATCATCCAGGTTTGAGTCTGGTTTCTAATCAATTGCTTGACCCTAATTACAATTCATGGCATCGTGCAATGTCTATGGCACTTATTGCTAAGAATAAGATCGGTTTTGTGGATGGATCTATATCTAGGCCTGAGGATGACGATAGCTTGCTTTCTTTCTGGTTTAGATGCAATAACATGGTTATGTCGTGGATACTTAATGCTGTTTCTAAGGACATTGCAGACAGTATAATGTATGTTAATGATGCTCGTAATATGTGGAATGATTTACATGAACGATTTCATCAAAGTAATGGACCAAGAATCTTTCAGTTAAAGCAGGAGATTCATGCTCTAGTTCAAGGATCTAGTGATGTTAGCTCCTATTTCACCAAACTTCAGACTCTTTGGGATAAATTAAGGGAATTTAGACCATCCCCTGCCTGTCATTGTGGATGAATGAAGGATTTAATTGATTATCAACATCAAGATTATGTTCTGCATTTCCTGATGGGAATAAACAACTCATTTAGTCAAATTCGTGCTCAGATCCTTATGCTTGAGCCATTACCTTCTATCAATAGGATTTTTTCTCTGGTTATACAAGAAGAAAGGCAAAGATCTGTGAGTTCTCCTTCCGTTCTTCCTCTTATGGCAACTTATGGGGTTAATTTCAACAATTATAATGCCTTTAAAGGAAAACGTGAGAAACCTGTCGGTACATATTGTGGTTATTTTGGTCATACCGTTGATAAATGTTATAAGAAACATGGTGAACCGCCTGGATTCACACCTAAAAATCAGCTCAATGCTCATTCTAAGGAAGGGGGTCAGAATAGATGGTCGAATAAATGGTCTTCTGGTACTTCAAAGGCTAATGTTGTTCAGGCAAATGTGCTTGCTGATTCCACCGATTCAGCTAATTCTGCTTTGAGTAGTTTGTCCGCCAATCAATATCAGGCACTAATTTCTTTGCTGAGTACACAGCTGCAGGGTATTTCTCAACCTCGGGATTGTTCAGATCAACAGCAACAGGCAGCCATTGTCTCCAATTTTGCTGGTATTTCTCTCATACCAGATCATGTCTGGATTGTTGATTCAGGAGCAACACATCATGTTTGCCATAACATGAGTTTTTTTGAATCCTTTGATGATGCTTCTATGACAAGCTCTATTATACTTCATAATGGTCATAACGTGGATATATCTAGAATTGGCACTGTTCGTCCTACTCCTTCTCTAGTTCTTCACAAAGTTCTTTACGTGCCATCTTTCAGATATAATCTGATTTCTGTGAGTTCACTTACCAAGAGCATTCTACGTTCTCTGATTTTCTCTGCTGATCATTGTTTTGTTCAGGACACTACACAGGGCCTGAGGATTGGGATGAGTAACCGAGTTGGTAATTTGTATTACTTAACTTTTCCTGAAAATAAGAAAGTTTTTGCTAGTGCTTGAAACAATGATTCTGTTGTTTCTTCTGACCTTCTATGGCATTATCGCCTTGGTCATCCTGGTTGTAATATTTCTCAACAACCATCTAAGATTCCTTGTTTCCATAGTACTCGAGATAAATCTTTTCATTGTAAAGTGTGTCACCTTGCTAAACAAAGAAGACTTCCTTTTGTTTCCAATAATCATAGAGCTGTTTCTTGCTTTGATCTGATTCATGTTGATATTTGGGGTCCTTTTCGTATTGTTTCTGTTGAGGGATACAGATATTTCTTGACAATTGTGGATGATTGTTCAAGGTACACATGGATGTATTTATTACATTCCAAAGCTGATGTACAGAGAGTTATTCCAGAATTTTTTGCCATGATTAAGACAGTTTGCAGTGGCTATTAAGGACATTCATTCTGATAATGCAAAGAACTGAACCTTACTCAATTTTATCAGACAAAGGGTGTCATACATTACCATTATTGTGTTGAGCGACCTCAACAAAACTCGATTGTGGAAAGAAAGCATCAACACCTGTTGAATGTGGCTCGGGCACTTCGTTTTCAGTCAAGTTTATCTTTGGTTTACTGGACTGACACGGTCCTTACAGCTACACACCTAATTAATCGAGTTCCTTCTTCAGTTCTAAATTACCAAACTCCTTTTGCAATATTATATAACCAGGTTCCTTCTTATTTGCACCTACGGCCATTTGGTTGTTTGTGCTATGCCTCTACCTTAATGAGTAAACGGGACAAATTTTCTGCTAGATCACGAGCCTGTGTGCTTATTGGATATCCTTTTGGAATGAAAGCCTACAAACTCTTAGATTTGGAATCCAATAAATTTCTCATTTCTCGAGACGTTATTTTTCATGAAAACATTTTTCCTCTGACTTCCAAAGCCTCTTCCACTGATATTGTTGGATTCTTTCCTCAATTGGTGTTGCCTCTGCCTATTCCAGATATGGATTCACCATATACTGATCTTTCTCGGAGTGTTTCTTCTCCCTCACACAATGAACAACCTTCTTCTGACACACTTCTTTCCCGTCCCAAACGCAATGTTCACAAGCCTAGTTACTTACAAGATTACCATTGTGGTTCCTCGACCTCTCATCCTCTCTCGAATTTTCTTGATTATAAGAAACTGAAATGACACTTTAAGGCTTCTGTCATGTCCATTTCTAGTCTTCATGAACCTACTGCATTCTCATTCCGAGTACCGTATGGACTTACCCTTCATGCTATGTCAGAAGTACTTCAGGCTTTGGAGCAGAATCATACTTGGACCATTGTCTCTTTACCTCCTGGTTTCTATGCTATTGGTTGTAAGTAGGTCTACAAGATTAAGCTCAAGGCAAATGGTACGATTGAACGGTACAAAGCGCGTTTGGTGGCTAAGGGATATAATCAACAGGAAGGGGTCGATTACATTGATACATTTGCTCCTGTAGAGAAATTAGTGACTGTGAAGTTGTTACTTGCCTTGGCTGCTATTAAGGGATGGTCCCTGCATCAATTAGATGTAAATAATACATTTCTTCATGGTGATCTGGCTGAAGATGTTTATATGACTATACCTAAGGGGTATAGTCCTACGGGGGAGACAAGATTACCTCCTAATTCAGTTTGCAAACTCAATAAATCCTTATATGGATTGAAGCAAGCGTCACGACAATGGTATGCCAAGTTTTCGAGTGTTTTAATTGAAGAAGGGTTCTATCAATCAGCAACAGACCATTCTTTCTTCATTCAGAGGACATGGGGAGTTTTTATTGCCCTCCTTGTGTATGTAGACGACATTATAATAGCAAGCAATGATGAGCTTGCTGTTCAGAACTTTAAGTCTAATTTGGATGCTAAGTTCAAACTAAAGGATCTTGGTTTCTTGCATTTCTTTCTTAGGTTAGAAATTGCTAGAACTGACAGAGGTATTTCAATTTCACAAAGACAGTATGCCTTGCATATCTTGACAGATACTGGTTTTTTGGGTTGCAAACCAGCTGCAACTCCTATGGAAGTAAATGCTAAACTCAGTCAGGATGATGAAGAAGAGTTTTCAGAACCTGCTCTCTATAGGAGATTGATTGGAAAGATGCTTTACTTAACTATTACTCGGCCAGATTTGTCTTATGTTGTAAACAAATTAAGTCATTTCCTATCCAAGCCAAGGTTGCCTCACTTTCAAGCTGCACAGAGATACAATATATCAAGGGTACTCCTGGTCAGGGACTCTTCTTTCCTTCCAATTCAGGAGTTCAATTACGGGCTTTTGCTGAGGCTCAGTTTGCTGGATTACTTGATGTTCAACTTAAAGTGTTTAGTGATGCAAACTGGGCATCATGTCCTCATACAAGACGGTCAGTTTCTGGTATTTGTGTGTTCTTAGGAGAATCCTTAATTTCTTGGAAATCTAATAAGCAAATGACAGTGTCTTGCTCCTCCGTTGAAGCTGAATATAGGGCTATGGCAAATGCAACATGTGAAGTGACTTGGTTATTTTCCTTGCTAAAGGAGCTTAGGGTAAATCATTCTAAACCAGCTTTGTTATATTGCGATAATCAAGCAGCTCTACATATAGCAGTGAACCCCGTCTTTCATGAGAGAACCAAGCATATAGAGATTAATTGCCATCTTGTTCGTAAAAAGATACAAGCAGGGGTGTTGAAAACCTTGCATGTCTCAAGTTCCAACCAACTTGCTGATGTTTTTACAAAGGCACTTCATCCTTCACAGTTTCGAGAATTAATTGGCAAGATGGGACTTATTAACATCTATAGTCCATCTTGAGGAGGAGTATTAGAATTCTAGTTAGTTAGTTAGTTTGTTAATCTTGCTGAATTGGCATTACAGTTGTGTTCTCTTTCCTTGTCCAGCTCACTCTTTCTATATAAGAGCTTTAACCAGTGTAATTTCTTTGATTAATAAAGAAATTGAATTCTTCTCCTTTTCTCTATCTGTTTCCTTTTGTAAAAAACCTTAATGACAGCACAAAAGTGGCAAATTGATAGAGTTTAGAACCATGCTACAGTGCCCGCGGGGATGACCGCGCACACACAGAGGAGGGGGTCGGATTATTTTATTTTGGGGTGGGACCCGGGCCGAGGCTGTGAGTGCGCCGTCATCCCCGCGATCACCGGCGCGGGTCGTTTAGCATTATTCTAGAGTTTAACACCATCTTGGAATACAATATAGGAGTGAAACAAGTACCAAGAGAAATTTAAAGTCATTATTGTCATGAGACACAATTCTTCTTGCAGTACTCTTAATAGGAATAATAACTCATTCATCGAAAATTGATCTCTTCGTCGCTAATGATGACATAACATCTATTGCACATCCCAATGGCCACGCAGCATCAAGTTCCGAATTCTTGTAATTCACTTTATTAACAACCGTTACCAGTTTTTGGGGAGGCACATCTGTCAAATATAATAATTAAAAATGATTAATCGAGACTTCCTCCACATGAAAAATTTATATTGAAAATGTAACTTACCAAATCCATCTACAAGTAATGTATATTGGTATACGAGGTCCATGCATAAATATGGTATATCGTCATCTTCAACGTTAGGGAATTTGGATTTAATGTCTTCAAATTTAGTTGCGCATACGACCTTAGCAGCTTCCTTGTAATGTTGTGGACGAATTATGCCACCAACTGCATCAGATTCTAGAATTCCAGCCTTGAATCCATGGAGAAAGAATTGCATAATTAGCAATGGATTAAAAATTAATATAATTTTTCCAAAGTAATTTCTACCTCCCGCGCTGTCCAGTAAAAAGATGAAGAAATATACATATTCTTCTGGCCATCTCCGCCTCCACCATTCCAAATTCCATTGAATGTACATTTCTCATATTTGCAGGGTGCTTTAACTTTAAGAGCCTTCCTAGCTAATACCCTACATCTCTTCATATTTGAGCCAGTTGGAGGAGCTGATGCTTTATAAACAACTCCTCCATATGTATATGTACCTTAAAAGGACAACATTTTACGTCATTTTCTTCGAAACAAGTCATAAAAAGAAGTGAAAAACAAGAGCAGGCATGGAGAAATACCATCATAACCCTCCAAAATGCATGGATTTGTAGAGTTTCTAGAGGTCTTAAAAATCTCAGCTCGGCCGGCCTTTCCGCCATAGTCCAAGTAACTGTAAACACATTACAAAATGCGAGTTTAGAAATCCAACAAAAGCACGCTACACATTTTCAAAAGAACTTTTTCCAAGTAAACCTGTGAACGTAGAGGTTGTAATTTGTTCCCTTGAAAGTCTTTTGCTCGACGTATGTTTCATTTGTCGAGGTCGTCGGAGCCTTTTCAGCATTTTCATCTGGGATTGTATATGCCATTTGTACGGATCCCCCTCCAAGATCAATTGTACAAATTGTTTCAGAATAATTTTTTCCCAGAGTATCTAATACAAAGTTTAAGGTTACCTGCATATCCACCAGGTAAATAACGATCACAATTGAATAATACTATATGCCTATTACTTAAATCTAAGTTGCACTGAAACTGAAATGTGATACGACACGATACATCGAAACGTTATGTATGAAAAGAGTAGTACATAAAATAATTTATAGAATTAGGCTATGTTAAGATCTAACCTGCTAATTCTTTTTGAGTTACTTTTAAGTCAAATTCCATAATTAACATTTTTAGTGAAAGTTTCCAAATATTTTAAGGGTAGTTAGCACATAACGTCCCCAACTTTCATTGTGGTAAACGTCTTTACCTTTCATTTTTTGTCATTTTCATCCTTATTTTCACATTTTATTCAAAAGGTCATTTTCATCTATTTTCTCAATTAAAAATTGTGAAATGAACGAATATACCATTTTCTTTAAATAAAACAAAATGAAAAAGAAAAAAATTAATTGCAATCATATTCCCAAATAAAAAAAAAAAGAAATTGAATCCCAAATAAATTACTAAAAGGTTAATTAGCACATAATGTCCATACATTTCACTATTATAGCGGAAAACGTTCATATCTTTCTTTTTTTTTTTTTTATTTTTTTTTTTCACATTTTCACCCTTAATGATACATTTGATTTCGCAAATCATCATTTATATCCATTATCATCCAAATTCTCAATAAAGAGCCGTGAAATGATGAATATACACTCTTATTTAAAAATAAATAAGACTAAACATTTTTTTAATTTCTAATTTTTTTAAATAATTTATTTGGGATTCGTTTGCACTTTTTTTAAAAAAAAAAAGTGGGACTATGAATGCAATTAATTTTTAAAAGTTTTTTTATTTAAGTAGAAAGGTATATTCATCATTTCACAAACTCTTTATTGAAAAATTGAATAAAAATGGATAAAAATGATGATTGCGCAATAAAATGTGTAATTAAGGGTAAAAATATTTTTTAAAAAAGAAAGGTATGGACTTTTTCGTAATAATAGTGAAATATATGGACATTATGTGCTAATTATCCTCTGAATAATTTATTTTGGACTTATTTGCTCTTTTCTAAAAAAAATTGGGATTATGATTGCAATTAGTTTTTTCTTTTTCTTGTTGTTTTATTTAAAGAGTAGAGTATATTCATCATTTCACAATTTTTAATTGACAAAATGAATGAAAATGATCTTTTGCGCAATGAAAGGTAGAAATAAATGTGAAAATATCAAAAAAAAATTAAAGATAAGAACTTTTTCCATAATAATAGTGAAAAATTGAGTCGTTATGTTCTAATCACCAATATTTTAATTCAAGGTTTCCATGTATAGTGTCCCATTAATTTTCAAATTTCAATAAAAATAGAAAAACATAGAAAATTTATTTTCGAGATTCGGAAATGTTTTTGAGTTTTAAAAAATGATTCGATTCTCAAAATGAATCCGAAATAAAAAACGCTAGGTTCTAGATATACCCCAGGCTAGAGTTTTCATAGATTATAGCTAATAAGTGATGCCCTCAACTTTAACCTTTTTGGTTTTTCATTTTAGTTGCTAAAATTATAAGTTCGTGAGTGATGAATGATAGTTGTGAGTCCTACAAAATGCGTGATTAATTGAAACTAATCCTAAATAAATCATCTTCTTTAGAAGCACCACTAGTTCATGTAGTTCAAGACAAATGCTCGTGGATAATATAAACTTACCCACATATAAGTTCCTTCCTGCGTTCCATCAAGAATGGAGACCCAGTCATCCTTGTATTTCAGGGTGCTTTCATTCTTCAACAAATTTCTCACCTTTTAGAAGAAAAATATCGAAACCTTAATCATTAGAAGAAAATCAGGACAATTATTTTGGTGCTGTAAGCAAAAAAGAAACAGGCTCAGTTTACCGCTTCCAAAATTCTGTCAGCTGCATCTCCTTGTAATAACCTCAGACCTGCAGTTGCCTGTATAGATATTCAACTCAAGATTATCTTGAGCGTTAATATATTGGAGTAAAAGAGCTCGAGTTATATATTTATCTACCCCAAGTCGAGCCGGTGTGTCGTGTTGCAACTCTGTTGGAACGACATCCTCGGCTTTCTCGAGGAGGGGTTTTAGAGATTTGGCAGCTGCCTGAGGATCGGCTGCATATGAACTCAGACCAGGATTTGTCTGCAACACAGTATGAAAACAAGTAGAATTATTCGAATATTCTTATATCTCTTGTGCACAAGTGAATTATTAGCTTGTTTGGGAGGAATTTTTGGGGGAAGAATTAATTTTTGAATAGTGATATGATGGGAAATGTGTAGTTGAAAAACAAGAAAAAATTATTGAAGTGATGGAAAATATTATTTTATTGAAGAATGTGCGGTTGAAAATGAAAATTGATTTACTGTAGAATTTGAAAATCTCTCCCAAACACTATAATGAAATGATTGGATAAGTGAAGTTCGTAATAATTTTAGTTAAGACACTTTCTTTAAAGTATTACTTTTTATAGTTTAATACATTTTTCTTTTAGCATCAACTTTTGGTTTGTTTGATAGAGATTATGATAAAAATTTTAGCAGATTTTGATAAAAGTTGATAAAATATATAATTGAAAAATTGATAAAAATTATGAATTTCGTAAAATGCGTGTATAAAAATTATTATCGACTTAGGACTTCAACTTTTTAAGTTATCCCACACAAGCACTTAGTAAAGTTCGCTAACGGTTCGTTTGATTGCAAGGGTGAAAAATGGGTGGAAAGAAAATGAATTTCAGGGAAAATAATTGCCTAAAATTTTTTTTGCAGAGAATTGTTAATTAAGTGTGTTTAATTAATATAGTTTTTCACCTGAAAAAATTTAAAATTTTGTGTACGTTTGACTTTATTTTACATGAAAATTGTCCATTAAATTGATAACTTTTTCTACAATTGATTATAAAATTTGTTTCCATTGCCAAAAAATAAAAACAAAAAACAAAAATTTTTTTCCTAGGAAATCATTTTTTATCAAAATTTGGCCCCTGTTTGGTTTACATTTTGAAGGTAAGAATGCATTTTTACTATTGATGTGATGGAGAATATATGGTTGAAAAAGAAGAAAAAATTATGATGTAATGAAAATATTATTTTATTGAAGAATGTGTGGTTGAAAATGAGTAGAAGAATGAGAATGAAAAAAATAATGTGGACCAAACATGGCCTTAGTGTTCGTTTGACTTTGTTTTACATGGAAATTGTCAATTAAAGTGATGTTTTTTGTACAATTGTTTATGAAATTTGTTTCCATTGCAAAGAAAAAAAAAGCTAGAATTCCATTTCCCACCAAAATGGTGGGAAAACCAATTCACCTAGTTTGAAGAAAATGTGCACGTGGGAAGGAATCTTGGAAAATCAATTCCATAGTAAATTTTTGCTTTCAAACAAGGTTAAAGTTGGAAAAAGAATTCTTTTTCCATTTTCCATGGAATTTAAGGGGTATCAAACAGGGCTAAATGTCTTTGATATACTACAATGAACAAGTAAAATGTTATTGTTAGAATACGACACAAATTCCTATTGGTTTCTGTTGTTTGATTGATAAATGAGGCATAAACAATTTTGATTTGGAAGTCTGATTTGAAGATGGCTCAAATTTCATCGAGGATTGAAAGTAGGGGTGGGCATGGGTTGGGTCGGTTTTTGCCTCAACTCAACTCAACCCAACATGATCGGTTTGATTAAAATTTAACCCAACCCAACCTGTGTAAAGGTTGAAACCCAACCCAACTCAACCCAATCAAGTGTAGGTTGGGTTAAGTTGGTCGGCTTGAGACGACTTGTCAACAAAAATTAAAGTTATCAAATTTTCTATTATACTAAATTTGAATAGACAATATTAAATAGTAAGTAAATAAATAAATAAAATTACATATATCTTATTCAATTATCATTAGACGAACTTACAAAGAACAAAGTGCATTTAATATAATATGAAAAATTATCCTACATTTCTCGTGGGAAGGACAATAAGCTCTTTCTCTAAAATGCATTAAGGTAATTACAATTACACTATCTATTCATACTTTTTAGGTTCCTTTTACTTTTTAGACATTTTATTTCTTTTTCTTTTTTAAAAGTAAGCGGGTCATGTTGGACGGACATATTCAGTTTTCATGAATTAACCCATAACTCAATCTAACCCGCTTACACAGTCAACCCAGCAAATTCGTGTAAAAACAACAAAAAAATCGACCCAAACCAGTAGGGTTGGTTCGATTTTGAAGATTTTGGCAAGTTCGGTTGATTTTTACCCACCCCTAATTGAAAGTTCAATTAAAATGACTTTGAAATGGATAAAAAAACTGCTTTAGAGTTTTTGGACCAAGGAGATGGACCAAGTCATGTTGGACGGGTTTATTCAGTTTTCATGAGTTAACCTATAACTCAATCTAACCCGCTTACACAGTCAACCCAGCAAATTCGTGTAAAAACAACAAAAAAATTGATCCAAACCGGTAGGGTTGGTTCGATTTTGACGATTTTGGCAAGTCCGGTTGATTTTTACCCACCCCTAATTAAAAGTTCAATTAGAAGGACTTTGAAATGGATAAAAAAACTGCTTTGGAGTTTTTGGACCAAGGAGATGGAGCTAGGTGCCCAAAGTTGAAGATTGCACAAGGGAGTCGGCGCTTGTGGCGCTATCCAGTGGCCAGAATTCGATTTTGATCGAAATACTAAAATTGGGTTCCAATATATACTCCACACGATATAGGCTTGAGTAACATAGCAAAATATTGCATAGCATTGAGAGAACATCAAAGTAAGAGGATCTAATTTATAGAGAGACTCGCATATTTTAAGATAGGTTGAGAGTCTTGCAAGATCCTTTTATACTTTATTGATATTGATCATATTGAATTCTCCAACTCTGCCCATGAATTTCCTAGATTTGGGTTTCAATCTGGTTTTCACGTTAAATCTTGGGTTTTTGAGTGATTCCTTTCGTTTTGTCATATTTTCTTAACTTTAATATTCATAACAAATGTATAAATTCTATCATCGAATTATTGCAAATTGGTTTATTTTATAACATGTACAATAATTTTAGTTAAGACAAGCTTTCTTTATAATATTACTTTTTCTTTTAGCATAAACTTTTGGTTTCATATTGTTTATTGTTTGACAACGATTTTTATAAATATTTTAGAATATTTTATTAAAAATTGATAAAATATATGTTTGAAATATTGATAAAAATTGTGGACCCGTAAAATGTGTGAATAATAGTAATTATCTACTTAGGATTTCAACTTTTTTAAAATTATCCAGCACAAGCACTTGGTAAAGTTGGCTAAACGCCACTCTTATATTACAATGAACAAGTAAAATGTGTAATAATTTTAGTTAAGACAAACTNCAGTCAACCCAGCAAATTCGTGTAAAAACAACAAAAAAATCGACCCAAACCAGTAGGGTTGGTTCGATTTTGAAGATTTTGGCAAGTTCGGTTGATTTTTACCCACCCCTAATTGAAAGTTCAATTAAAATGACTTTGAAATGGATAAAAAAACTGCTTTAGAGTTTTTGGACCAAGGAGATGGACCAAGTCATGTTGGACGGGTTTATTCAGTTTTCATGAGTTAACCTATAACTCAATCTAACCCGCTTACACAGTCAACCCAGCAAATTCGTGTAAAAACAACAAAAAAATTGATCCAAACCGGTAGGGTTGGTTCGATTTTGACGATTTTGGCAAGTCCGGTTGATTTTTACCCACCCCTAATTAAAAGTTCAATTAGAAGGACTTTGAAATGGATAAAAAAACTGCTTTGGAGTTTTTGGACCAAGGAGATGGAGCTAGGTGCCCAAAGTTGAAGATTGCACAAGGGAGTCGGCGCTTGTGGCGCTATCCAGTGGCCAGAATTCGATTTTGATCGAAATACTAAAATTGGGTTCCAATATATACTCCACACGATATAGGCTTGAGTAACATAGCAAAATATTGCATAGCATTGAGAGAACATCAAAGTAAGAGGATCTAATTTATAGAGAGACTCGCATATTTTAAGATAGGTTGAGAGTCTTGCAAGATCCTTTTATACTTTATTGATATTGATCATATTGAATTCTCCAACTCTGCCCATGAATTTCCTAGATTTGGGTTTCAATCTGGTTTTCACGTTAAATCTTGGGTTTTTGAGTGATTCCTTTCGTTTTGTCATATTTTCTTAACTTTAATATTCATAACAAATGTATAAATTCTATCATCGAATTATTGCAAATTGGTTTATTTTATAACATGTACAATAATTTTAGTTAAGACAAGCTTTCTTTATAATATTACTTTTTCTTTTAGCATAAACTTTTGGTTTCATATTGTTTATTGTTTGACAACGATTTTTATAAATATTTTAGAATATTTTATTAAAAATTGATAAAATATATGTTTGAAATATTGATAAAAATTGTGGACCCGTAAAATGTGTGAATAATAGTAATTATCTACTTAGGATTTCAACTTTTTTAAAATTATCCAGCACAAGCACTTGGTAAAGTTGGCTAAACGCCACTCTTATATTACAATGAACAAGTAAAATGTGTAATAATTTTAGTTAAGACAAACTTTCTTTATAGTATTACTTTTTTATTATTAATACTTTTTCTTTTAGCGTCAACCTTTGGTTATTGTTTATTTTTGGACAAAGATTTTGATGAAAAAATTTTAAAAGATTTTGTTAAAGTTGAAAAATTGAAAAAAAAAATTGCAAATCTCGCAAAATGTGTAGATAAAAATAATTATCAACTCAGGACTTCAGTTTTTCAAATTATCCCACACAAGCGCTTAGTGAAGTTGGCTAAGCGCCACTGATATATCACAATGAACAAGTGAAAGGTAATACTTAGTACAGTGATCAAATAAGAATTGAGTAGTTCAAACTCTTATATATTTATTATTTATTTTATTTTTTATCAATGTAAAATTTAACGCTTAACAATATTTGTTGTAAATATCCAAAAGAGATAAAATCAGTAGAAGTTAGATTGAACAAGAAATAAGTAACAAGTTACCGATGCATAGAGCTCGAAACCATCACCAATAGGAAGGAGATTCAGGTTTTCGTCAAAGCGGAATACATGGACTCTGCTCCCTGTACTTCCAGCATCGAATATGACTGCATACTTCTCCGTGTCATGGCCAAGGAGGACACGTCGGAAAGGAAGCTTATGTCGATGAATATCGTGGGTTAATTGACTCGAGTAGGACAAAGAACCATAAGGTAAGAGGAAGAGCACGACCAAGACTCGTAGGAGGAGGTCATGACCAACTGCTAATTGTTTCACCATATTTTTCTGCATTGTTCGTTCTAAGACAAAGTATGTAAAGTTGGAATATTACACTGGATGCGATTCACATACACAGACGAATATACATATATATACACACACACACCGACGAATTCAAACCAATAATGCGAATATACTAAACTGAAAGCGAAAGGATACATGTTTAACCCGTTTTAACAGTTAACATCAACTATTAGCTGCATATAATATAGGAAATTATAGATATATATAGTAAACATTAGGAATAAAATATTTATCATTATGATATAGAAAATCTTGTTGAACGGGACCAGCGTTATGTCAGTGGTTTTTTTCTGCATGATGAGATAATGAGGAAAAGAAATCCAATTTTTAATTTTAAATTATGGTGCCTTGAGCATAAATTAAAGGATTTTGTTACTTGTATATCAAAATTATAGATAAGAGGTTACATAATAGGATGTGAATGAAAAATATTGAGTAAAAAAGTTGAATGTATTTTAGACTGATAAATGTTGGAGTGTCATGTACGTAGTATTATGTAACACATTATCTAATCTATGACGTACATGTTGTAATGTCTCGGGAATTTTATAAAATAGAATTAATTATTTTTAATGTTATATTTTATATTTTTTTCAGTTGAAGGACTATAAAGAAATAAGTTTTAATTTTTTATTTTTTTGGGTTAAATAGTTAAATTTTAATAGAGATGAAATTAGTATATCAATAGTGAGCTTGTTGGATAACTCGTAATTAATCATCTATTTTATGATCGAGAAAAAGTCGATTATTATAAGCGAAACTCAAGTTATCGAGGTCGAAAGGCGTTGTCTAAAATTGTAATTTATTCAAGTTAATTAACGAATTTAGAGTTGTTGAAAGATTGTCAATTTATTTTATTTTATTATTATTGATTTGCCTTGATTTTGGAGAATTGACATGGACAGGTTGCCACGTGTACGTTGGAAGGGAAATGAAAAGTGAAATTAAATGACTTATTTAATTTCACCTATCATTTAGTGTTACATTAACGCCACGTAAATTATGTTTTCATCACCAGTGGGAATGAATAACATTACTGATCAATGAAATAACTTTTGATTGTATGAATTATCGGGATTGTGATTCCTTTGGGGGAAAAATATGTCATTTTGCATATTTTAGGCCTATCAAAATTCAATTTCTCATTTCAACCTTAAATACCATATAAAAGAAATCATTATATATCCAAAAGAGGAAAAGAAAAGAGAAGACAGAGATACGTGTTACGGTGGCAGCAAGTAGCAATTAAATTTTTGGAATATGATTTTGGTTTGCTTTTCAAATTTATTTGATTTAAAAATGTAGGATTACAAGGTGTAAGTGGTTTGTCCCGTTTAATTTTTATTTTTTCATTTTGATAAATATTATGCTAATAATTATGATATGAAATGAAATGGTTATCCGGTACCAAAGATATGATATATTTTGAGCTTTTACCGATATCTAAGGATATGATATGACGGTATGATTTTTTGACGCATGATTTAATATTTTATTTGGGATTGCACCATTTTTTTTTGTGTCCTATTGAGTATTCTCATATACTCACCACTTTTCTTACTGCTCACATGTTAGAACAGATCGTTGGTTGGCTGACGATGAGGTGCAATCCTGGTGTCAGGATGTGACCCAATAAAATAATCCAGTATAACTAGACATTTTTAATTTCTACAGCTTCTTAGTTTATTTCATAAGAATTTATTTAGAAATAAGACATGTTTTATTGGGTTATGAATTTAAATCCGTGGTATGTTTTATTTGTGGAATTAACATTTTATTATTTATGTAATAAATGCGATATGCATGACAGTTAATATTTATTTGGAATATATTTTATTTGGTTATGAATTTCTTCTATTACTTAAATTGTGTTCGTTAATTTCATATATTTACACTGCTCAAGTTAATGGATTTAGTCGTGATTTAGTAATCGTGGCTAAATTTGTAATCGTGACTCACTAATTCAATAATTTGTGGTTGAGAAATAACTTGTGACCAATTAATTTAATAATTTGACACCATGAAATAAGTTGTGACCAATAAAATATGTGATTTGTGACCTATAATTTTTTAAAATTCGTGACTGACAAATAATTTGTGACCTATAAAATTTTTGATTTGTGATCGAAAAATAATTTATGATTGATGAATTTCATAATTTGTAACTTTAATATATTTAATTCATAATTTCATAAATAAAATTTAGTTATTATCTGATTTTTGAAATAACAAATATTGTTTCTTAGTTTTGAAATGAGTCGTATTTAATATCTTAAATATTTGAAAATTTTCCATAAAATATTAAATTCAAAACTTTTTCCTATTTTTTAGCCTTGCATGAGGCCATTTTGAGGAAAAAATATGTTTTTGATTAGTGATTTTTGAAAAATGTATGGTAAAAAAATATTTTTTTTATTTACATGTAAAATTATTTTGTTGAAAAATGTATGAAAATGAATTTTGAAAAAATGAGGGTCTTTTTTATTTTTATTTCATTTTTGAATTTTGAGTTTTAAGTTCATTTTCAATTTTCTGTTTCAAGAGTCTTTTTTAAAAATGGTAAAAACGTATTTGATTTGTCATTTTGAAGTTGATAGATTTTGCAATATTTTTTTTTTCTCGCTACAAAAGAAAAATAAATAATAAATTGAGTTCAAAATATAGAAAATAAAAATTAACGACATAGATTCAGAAATTTTAATTGTGTTCATTTAAATATATTTTTTAGAATTTTTATGCAAAACTTGGACTATTTTTACTTTTTATAATTTTTATTTTTATAGAAATTTTTATAATTTTATTTTTTTAGAAATTTAGGCTTGTTCAAAGTTTTTATTTTTTCAAAATTTATTCTTTAGAATTTTATATTTATATTTTTAAATTTATTTAAAAGCCCGTTTTCCATTTTTTGAGTGTTTTCAAAATTTTCACTGAAAACACTCAAAAAGTTAAAATGTGCGTTTTTTTTTGTTATAAATTTGACCTCGTTTGTGAAAATGCATCTTCGAAAATATCATACCAAAAACTTTTTAACATTTTGCAAAACTAAAAACTGAAAGTAGCAAGCCGAACGCACCTTGAGTTTTTGATAAAATTGGGCTCAAATAAGGGTTTAATCATACATTCTCCTAAAAATTATTATTCAAAGCTCTATGTTTTCCGAATAATGGTTGCCAAACAAGAGGTAACTAAAACAACGTCAATATGCATATGAGATGTCAAACATTTCAAATACATTCGTTAGTTAATTAAAAGTCAAATGTCTAATCTTAGTTTGATCAATTTTAAAAAGTGCGAAATGAACTTTTAACATTTAATTAATTAAAATATTATAAAACATAAACAAAAATAAATAAGAAATAAAAAAGTATTCATCGATGAAGTTCGAGGAAATGAGACGATGGCTATTATGAGGTTCACCAGCGAAGGCAGATGATATTTGTCCCATTAGTTGGGTTGGGAAAAATGAATGTTTTCTTTTTCTCTTCTTATTTAATTTTAATTTTTAATTAATTAAATATTAAATACCATTTTACCCCTTCTAAAAATTGATCAAATTAAAATGAGATATTTGACTTTTGATCAACTAATAAATTTTTGAATGAAAATCATTTGAGTTTCTTCCTATGCATATTTATTAAAAGCTTTGGAGCACATTGTAGTTGGAAAGTTGTAAGTTTCATAAAATGTGTTGTTAAAATTAATTCTTAATTTTGATTTAAATTTTAATCTAACTTTTTACTTGAACCAAATAGTGCTATGTGTCATTATTTAAAGTTAACTGCCCCAATGGTCACTGAACTTGTGTTCGTGTCTTCGAATGTTCACTAAAGTTTAAGGTATCGATTTTTGGCCACTAAACTTCTCTAAACGATGGATGTTACTCACGGGCATAATATTCGACGTTACTCACGGGCATAATATTCTTTTCAAATCGTTAATGGAATTAGTGATGTGACTAACGGAATGCACATATGGCGCACCATCACGCTGTGAACAAATTATTATGTCTTCGATTGCTCACTAAACATCGAAAAAAATCTTCGATTACTCCTTAAACTTTGAACAATGTCTTAGATTACTTACTGAAGTTTGATATCAAATTTTGGCCATAAACTTCTAAAAATGATGTCGACTTGTTGTTCGTTAAAAAATGTGTATCACAAGCACACGAATCGATTAAAGTAATAATGTAGACAAACAAGTCCAGCTTGTCGATTCTACGAGAAATTATTAATCAATTACACAATAGTTAAAATTTAATTTTAACATAATGTTGTAGAATTTTAAACTATTTTCATCATTTGAAAAATTTAAATTTATTGTATCTTTTGTTGTTAAAATTAAATTAAAATAAAATTTGCAATGAAACACACAATAATTTTAACTAAATGGATTTTGTAATGAAGCACACGATAAATTTAATCAAAAATTGAATTTTTGTAATGAAACACTCAATCTATTTAATTATATTTATTATTATTTATGTTTTTGCAAAATTCAAATTTTAATAATGACACACACAAAAAATGTGAATTTTTTAAATGATGAAAATAACTTAATTTTTTACAAAAATCTAAATTTAGCTATTGTGTAATTGATTAATCATTTATCATGGGATTAACAACCCGGATTCGATCGTCCATTTTATTATTTTTACTCAACCCGTGCACTTGAGGTACGCATTTTTTAACGAACAACAATCCGACGTCCTTTTTATAAGTTTAGTGGCCATAATTCGACCACATCAAACTTCAGTGAACAATTTAAAACATTTTTCAAAGCTTCGTGAGCAATCTAAGACGTTTTTCAAGAAATAGTGAGCAATCGAAAATGTTTTTCAAAGTTTAGTGAGCAATTGAAGACGTGATGACAATTTGTTAACAGCGTGACGGGATGCCACATGTGCATTCCATTAGCCACATCACTAATTTCGTTAACTATTTGAAACGGATGTTATGTCAGTGAGTAACATCTAAGGTTTGGAAAAGTTTAGCGACCAAAATTCAACGTTTTAAACTTCAGTGAGCAATCAAACACACAAATATTAGTTTAGTGAACATTTGGATAATTAACTCCATTATTTAGCACCTCGTCCCCTTCAACAAGAATTTCAATAAAATAATGATGAACAATATTCCTTATGTGAACTATAACTTTATGTATGATTTCCTATATTATATGCAGCAGTTGATTTTAACTTGTAAAACGAGTTAATCATGTATTGTTTCGCTTTCAGTTTAGTAAATTTGCATTATTGGCTGGAATTCTTCTGGTGACACATATATGTGTGTTCGTGTGAATCACGTCCAGTGTAATATTCCGAGATCACATACTCTCTTTAGAACGAATTACAAGGTAGAAAAATACGGTGAAGCAATTAGCAGTTGGTCGTGTTCTTCCTCTTGCTTACCAGTTGGTTCTTTGTCCTGCTCCGGTCATTTCCACTGACAGAAGCTGAGCTTCCTTACTGGTGTGTCCTCCTTGGCCATGACATTGAGATTGTAGACAAATGTTTATGTAAACCCATGATTTGAAACCAAATTGTTAGTTTTGGAATTTTTTCAAACCCTTAAAAATGAGTTTATTAGAAAATATGTCAAAAACTGTCAAACAGAAAAACCATATTCACTCCTATTCTACCCTCCAAATTTCGTCTTCGACGAGAAAGAATGGAAATTGTACCAATGTGCTGCAGGTGTTCAGAGTTGGTTGAGGATAGCTTCCACGCCATCTTTAGTTGCGTGTTGGTGATGCCTGTGTGGGAGGAGAGGAACAATGCCACATGTACAAAACATGGGTTACAACAATGGGTTACAACCTCTCACAAAGGAAGTAGGCCCCGCGATTAAAATAATAGTGGACCCCACCTCCCTTGTGAGAGATTGTAACCCGATGTTGTAATCCAACATTATACAAGGAGTATTATTCGGGAGGAGAGTGGGCTGAAATGTATTTTTTCCTCCTTTTGATACGTGTGGACATGGGAGATCCCGAAGTTCATTGCTGACCCTATATCTCATGATATTTCTTGAATGAGATTACATATTTAATCCTCAAAAATATAATGTTGGTGTTCATATTTGTTTAATACTCTTCTATTATTGAATTCTTTTTAATTAAAGAATTTGATATAGACTATTTATGTGTCTTAATTCGAAGAAGTCATAATTTGATGATAAAAATTTTTTTTTTTTCCCAAATCGAAGTTTGTTTCAAAAACACTTTCGATGCTTCGAATGGTAAAACATAACTTTCTGCCAGTCAAATGAACGTGTGAGAAAAAAGGTCGATTAGGACTGTGCAATCCATTAGTGACATTTTCTTGAAACATATTTCGTGACTGAGTGGTATTTCAGAATTTCTAAAATTTGGAACTTCGTTCTTTAGGGTAGATCCCAACTTGTCAAAGCAAACACAACAAATATTCTAATTACATTCTATATATCCATTGTACCGTACGTACATGGTGCCCCAAAACTGGATACAACAATCTAAATACAATTATACATATATCCACGTATATCTAATGAGACATTATTATTAGCATTAAATTACCTCCAATCTTTCTTTATATGGACTCATATCGACACACTATTAGGAATACCTCTACACGTTACACCGGGACCAGAACTGGGTGCAAGAAGCTCATATGGTAGCACCCCACCACCACATCTATTTCTTAGCTTCGAATCCTTGTTTCTTTGCTCAATTTCCTTTTCTATCCTTCTAATTTCAGCCGAGAACTCGTGGAAGGATTCGATGACCTCAGCATCACCGGACCAAATGGATTGGTGATGTCTCTCCCCTAGGTACTCCTCATCGGGTGAGTGGGTTGATAATGTGTCAACCACGGCCATGAACTTTGTTGCTTGTAACAAACTCGGTAGAGCTGAGAAGAAGTATTTTTGTGGATCCGCATGGAATATGGCGAACTCAGGATCATTTTCATCTGGAATTAATCGACGCATCAGTGGTGGCCTGTTAGGGACATAGCCACCATAGGGGTACTGGCCGAAGTTTAGAGCTGCATGTTGTGCAGATGCTAGCCAGATAATGGTAGTAAGAATTGATGTGAGGTCCTCCGGTGTGGCCAGTGTGGGCCACCATTCTGCATGACGGAGATCGGCATGGCCCACATTGATGGACTCAGCATACCAAGCTTGGAGCTCCTTGTCATTACAGACCAGGCTCGAGTCTGGGTAGTAATGATTGACATAAGAACGGACCCAATTCTCAATTGCAGACCATATCATTAGCCCATCTGTTGCATAGGGATAGTCCTCAATTAGTAGTTTTAGGCCATGTGGTTGTGTCGGGTCTGGCACTGCCATTCCTCTGAATGAAAGAAAGGTCATGCTTTAGGACTTCATTAAATGATCAAGGTGGAAACAAAAAGAGCTATGAAGAATTTTGTAGACTTTAGTTACCTTCTAATGAGATCGGCTGGGAGGCCTTCCAAATCGAAGCGCCAGAAATTCTTGTAGGCAGCAGCACTGATTTCCATGCCATAACGTCCAGGAGTGAAGCAAGATTCAATTACACCATCTGCACAAATCAAGCTCTGTCGAGCCAATGCATTGATCTCCAATGTGTATCTCATGTGGGGATCCAAAAGCTTAAATATGGGATGCATTGCACTCAATTGCCTATGCGCTGCCAATATAAATGGTTCCATTGTTGCATGTGTGCGTAACCTGCATCGATCACAACAAATAATGATTTCCTTAGTATTAGATCATTATGTGAGAAAAATATTTTACTCTAGCTAGTCATGGTCCATCTATGGATGGTGAAACTGAGGATTTTTCACACACGTACCAATGGTTGACAAGTTGATGGACACCGGCATCGTTAGCAGAAACATGGGCCTTAGCCAGCTTCCACATCCAATCAGTGGTGGCATCTACTGGCGGGGTCACCACCCGCTTTGAACGAGAACTTGGAGCTGTTTGTGGGAGGCTTAGCTCTATGGCAATGGGTTTCAAAGTGCCCGAATCGGTCAAGAAAAATATGGTTCGTGTGGCATATGCTTTACGGCCATCAAGTGCATTAATGCCATCAAGAAATGGTAGGTAAATGTCGTGGTAATCAATGATAAATAGCTTGTTAGCCTCCAAAGCCTGCAAACGTAGCGAAGTAAAGAAAAATTTAATGTTAGGTTGATGGAAACCGGCGTACACAATGAGGACCACGATTAATTCAATTGTCTTTATGAGGTAGAAAATGTTACACAAGGTATTGACTTTGGATGAGTTTATGCACTCTACCTGGTCTGTACTGCTAATCTATGAAATGTGTTATATCAACAGTGTTTTCTAATTTATTTAAAATAAATTTTACCTCTTGCACAGTCATCCCATTGAGATTGCCGACAATGTGTTCTTCTTTGAGAGCAGATTCTTGTCGTCCATAGATTTCAGGGTCAAGCTTGCTGACTGGTGGAAAATTATGCAGCCTTTCTACGCCCACGGGATTAATACCTGCTATTGCTTGGCGGCCAAATTCATCGTCTCTCAACCATGCAAATTTGTCCTCTGTGGGCATGCACGCAAGATGTTAATATTTTTCTATTGCACTGATGTTAAAAACTCTGTATAGACACTCACAATTTAGATGATACTGTATTCAAAAGACAATCAAAGTACTACACTAGTAGCTTCTGACATGTTAAATTAGTTAGGCAGCCTATGAACTACCAAGGAAAAGTAGAAAATGTTCCGATATCTGGCATCATAATTAATTACCAACTAAAATCACTTAAATTAGCTACTGTGTCTCTTAATGGGAGTGGAAAGATTAGTCACAAATGAATTAAGACTATCTAATTTCAGCTTTTACTGTACAGAAAAATTTGAAGATTGAAAGGAGATAGATGATTACGGACTTGAGATAATTTTTGGAATGTCATATTTGAGTAGACCGCCTTCTTGTATTTTGCTGACAGCTTTAGGCAATTGGATCTTCTTCAAGAGTTCATCCTGAAGTCCTAGTTTCAGAAGTAGGCCTTCACTGTAAAGGCTATCAATATCAGAAAACCCCTTGAAATCATGGTTAGTAGCTGAGATGCTGGCCATTATCGATGGTATTAGGTTGTGAAGCACACCCTTCAATCTCCCAGTTGAGAAAGAATTCATTTTAGACTCCTCAAATCGCTCGTCTCTTGGCACATACATTGGCAATGGCTTCTCCACTCTGCTCTCAGCATTCATATCTGATACACGCATGAAATACACATTAAGTAATATGATAACATCAATTTCTGCAACATACAAATAGAAATAATCCCAATTGGTGCATAGAGAATCAGTTTAGGACATAGCCTAACCAGTGTCAGTGGGAGGGCGTCCAGTGCGACATCGTCTAGGATACGGGATTTTTTCACCTCCAAGTGTCAGTCGAACAAAATCAATTCCCTTGTCAGGATTACCCAGATCGTTATAGATGTCGAAGTCATATATTCTATCAGACAACTTCCGTTCTCCTAGGCCATCACCTCTGAGATCTCTAAGCTCCCTTTCTCTTAGTGCTTTCAACCCTTCTGGTGTTTCATTGGGAAGATATGGCTGTTCGAAGTAACAACATATATTAATTTACTTCGTACTCAAATAACGCAAAAGTTAATTGGTCGTTGTTATCCCGAATGGTGCCTTTCTCATCTCTTCTTGGGCATAAGACCTTAGATTCTACTTTATCAAGAAAAGGCTATAAAAGATCATCTTTAACTTCCTTTGTGTTCTAAGAACATTAGCTAGAAAATAAAATAATCAATCAGACAAGTCCTAGCCCCAACTGAATATTTTCTAACTCTAAAGAAAAGAAAAATGAGAAAAAATTCAAAATAGGAAATTGGTTAACTTCCCAGTTCCCATTCATAAAGTTCCTTAAAAAAAGATTGTGCCTTGTTTGAAATGCAAACATTTACATTCAAATAATAATTGTTTTGAAAATTCATTATTGGATGCCAGAAATGGTCCAATTCAGCAATAGTTTGTCTGCAGCATAATTCAATTAATTGTTAGACAAATAATGTCGATAGTCTTAAATGGAGATTTGACTGGGTTTTAATGTCAAATCTTGAATTGCTGGCAAATGGAAAATCAAACTGATAAAATGAAAATAAATAATTACCTGATTAGAGAAGAATATTCTCTTTCCAGGATGGTCTTTCCTGGACTGAACCCATGAATTGCAGGAAAAATGAACTGGACCGCATGCAAAACCTTCAACGGTAATACTCTCCAGTAAAAACTCTTGCCGGTGCTTATTAATCACCGTGATTGCCCCTGGAATCCCAAAATTTGAATCCACGACAAAGTCTGCAATGTAATTAACTCTTTCGGCTTTAAGGTTTGATTTTTCGGACCAGTCCTTCAACACAGCTTGATTACTTTTCTTCGGACCCTTGGTTTCTTGAAAATAGGAGAAAAAAAAATTATAAGTTTTCAGTAAAAACTAACAAAAATTTCTTAAAAATTACAGAAGCAGAAAATGGCTTACTTGGATCAATATCTGTGCTAACAAGTTCTAACACGACATTTCTCCCAATTTTGTCAGTCAAAGCATCCAAATGCTTGGCTATAGTCTCCTTCAAATCTTCCTTGTGCTTGTTTCTTACAGTAACAACTGCTCTGACCTTGAATTTCACTGCTTTTTCAGGCATCACTTTTACCAAATCCAAATTCTCACTTATTGCTGCCACAAGATTAGGAACTCTTGATGCTCTTTTCACTTGAATTCTCTTTCTCTGGGCAGGAACCAGAACCGTATTAGAACAGAACTGGTTGTGCTTTCGATTTACAAGAAAATTTGATGAGCCAAGAAATTGAGATTTCTCCATCAAGGAAGAGCCCATGATTTCGTTAACCAGTGCCATCTTTGATACTTGATTTCACTTGGTGGGTTCTTGAATTTATCTTTTCTTCGATCAAAACAGTGGACGTTTTCCGGAATTGAGAGGCTGATCAAGAACTGGTGGTGCATGTGTAGCGAAAATGGGTGCATATATATAGAGAGAGAGAGAGAATTATGACCTCGCCGGCCACAAAGTCACTTATTTTTATATAGGACGTGTCATTTAAATTAAAATAAATGATATAGTCGTGCAGCTCGTGCTGTATATTTTGACATGAGAACTTCTACGGCTGCCGAGTCCAAACGAGTTTAAAGTTTCAAACGTGAGAACGCGGTGTGGGAAGCTAAACAGAAGGTGCTACTTCGAAGGTGGTTTTTTTTTTTGCAATTAGTGAGTGGACCTATATGTCCTTTTCTTTTACAAGATTGGCAATCAAGTCCTTGTTTTAAATCAAAATGTTCATTTTTATATCGTTTACATCTTCTGCACCTACAAGTCACAAGTTGATGATCAATACAGTGTCCCAAATCATTCCCTGGTGTACATCAAGTTGGAATGTGAATTTTACTGGGGAATCATCAATTGAGATTGTGATGAATTTAAAAAATCTTTCTAAATTTCAGTTCAGATTTTAATAAAACCCATTAAATTTTAGGTGTCCCCAATTGAAATTTTAATGAATTTTAACGAAATCTTTTAAAATTTAGGTTTCGTCAATAACTAATAGATTTACAAAGATTTCATTAATAGAAGGATTTTAAAAGATTTGGATGAATTTCAAGTTTAAAAATACATGTAACCAAATTTATTTTTTTTTTGAAATTTCACCATATTTGATGAGATTTTTATAGAATTTGTGGAAATCCATTTAAATCCACGAAACTCATTAGAATTTATAAAATCTTAAAATCCATCAAAATCTTAGTTGATGACACACCCGTTAGTCATAAATTTAGAAATTTAGAATTTCTCAAGATAGAATTTTAGGGTAGAAAGTCATAATTTAGATTTTTCAATTTGAGATGAAAATTTTAATCCTAAAATTCGAAAATTCGGATGTTTTGGGAAATCTTAGGAAAATAATGAATAGGGGCAATCGGAGCACTGCAGCGCTGCAATTTACATCATATTCGAACTTTTTGGGAAATCTTTGGAAAAGAATGAACAGGGGTAGCCTGAACGCTACAACACCCTAACAGGTTCGATCCGAAAAGAATTTTTTTTTTCTTTTTTTTTTTGCAACAAAAGGAAAATAAATAAAATAAAATATAAGGGAATAAAAATTAAAATATAAGGGAATAATTAAATTTCAAATCTTTGTACTAAAATTTATTTCGAATTACTAATTTTCTAAAATAAATTAGCTCAAGCAACATGTTATTAAAGTAACATTTCTTGTCTAAATTCATTTATTTGAAATATTATGAAGGTTCGGTGTATATAATTCATGCGGATACTCACGGGCCCAAGGAAGGTCGATATTTGGCCGAATTATTTGCACACTTATGGTAATAAATATGTGATAATTGTAAAGTTTTCCATTTATGCGAACATTAAATCGGTCCAAAGAAAAACTTAATGTTTGACAGGATTTATTATCAATATTTGACTACTACACCAAAAGTACCACTTACAAGTTGATATTTATGTTCAAAGACTAAATATCAGTGTTGTGTTCGGTCACTTGTGATGGGGTGTACCATTATTTGAAATTATAAATTGTCTAATATGGATTCTCATGTAAACATGTCATTTAGGTTTAAGTTATGTATTTTGTTAATCCATCAACTTTTACAATATCTATCATAATCAATTCAATTTCTATACTTGAACTAAAGTTTAAGGGCTAGAAAGCGAACATTTATACCTTTCTATTGACAAAGATCTACACCTTGCGTTAAGGACTGAACAACTCACTACGCTACGAATAAGAGTTCCACTAATAAAATGAAATTCGAATTAGCGGGATTATTCAAATCGCATAAGTCTTATGATCATAAAATATGAAATTCATATAACACTCGGGGACATTAAGGTAACTACTCCCAATGAGTTTCTTGAGGACAAAAGACGGTAAAGCTGAAATTAGCATGACTTTTTGCGAACTTCGTTTCACTGAAGGGTAAAGAAAATATAAGGGAGTATATCGTGGAGATATCTCATTTTGCTTCAAAACTAAAAGTATCAAAGCTTGAACTGTCAGATTACTTGATTGTGCATTTAGTTGTGATTTAAATTCTTGCACAATTCGGCTAATTTAAGGCCAGTTACAATTGTCAAAGGGGAAAGTGAACTCTTAATGAGCTCATTTCATATTGTGTGCAAGAGATAGGCTAAAACAAGATAAATTTGATATCACTCACTTGGCTAGTACCTTTAAGGACAAGTTATAAAGAATAATAAAGTTATTTTCAGTTCGATTCAAAATAAGGGTGTGTTTGAGCCACATTATTTTGGAATAATGTATTTTGGAATAATAGATTGATAGAGAATGTATGGTTGAAAATGAGTAAAAGAATGAAAATGAAAATTTTAATACGGCTCAAACAAGAGCTAAACAACAAAAGTCTGAAAATGATAAATCTGACTATTCCCTTTGTGAAAATTTGAGACACGTGAAGAAAGACTGTACTAAATACCACGCTTGGCTTGTAAAGAAAAGTACAGTTCTCATTTTGGTTTATTTGAAGTTAGTTTAGTTTTAATATCTAGACATACTTAGTGGATAAATTTTAGTGTTACTATTCAAGTAAGTGTGTCTATACGGGGTTGTCTGAACAAAGATGTTAAAAGATTCATCTATGTGGGGCAATAGCAAATCAGTTAAGGTTGACACTATATGAACTTTTATGTTATTATTAAAGATTGATTATGATTTGAATTTAAAATAGATATTTGTACTACCATCTTTTAGACGGAATTTGATTTCTATTTCTACATTGAACAAATCTTGTAACTCTTGTTTAATTGAAAATAGTCAATTTGATCTTTTTCTTTATTCAAATAATGTGGATATCAGTTCTTTATCCGATTATGATATCATATATCTGCTTAATACAGTTGTCTCATATAAAGAAATATTGAATATAAACTCAAGTGGTATTAAACGTAAATTAACCAATGAAAATTCTGCTTCTTTATTACACAAACGATTAGATCATATCTCTCAAAAGTGAATTAAAAATCTTGTGTCAGAAGAAATTTTTGACTCTCTTAATTTTCAGACTTAAGTGTTTAGTTAATTACATTAAGGGAAAACAAATAAATAAAAGGAGATTAGATGTCAATAGAACTTCGAACGTCTTAGAACTAATTTATATGAATATCTGTGAGCCACTCACTTCCACTTTTTAAACGGTCAATAGTAATTTATTACATTCATAGACGATTTTTCTCATTATAGCTATCTGTATCTTATTCATAATGAATCTCAAACACTTGACAGTTCAAGGTGTACAGAGGTTGAAAATCAACCCAACAAAAGAATTAAACAAGTTGGATCTTACCATAGTAATGAATACTATGACAAATATGACGAATCAAGTTAACAATGTCCAAGACCTTTTGCTAAATTTCTAGAGGAATGTAGAATCTTCCAATACCAGAATCTCTATAGGTTGAAGCACTAAAATCTGCAGTTTAAATTCACAATAAAGTTCCAAGTGAAGCAAATGTTAAGGGGTTACAATTTTTTTAAAAAATCCCACTATTGGGTCAACTTTCGAAACGAAAAATGTTTCAATCCTTGATGATGTAGAGTTTGTAGGGAAGATAAGTTTATAAGGTTAAATATTTAGTCTTGGAGGAAGAATATGTATATAATTCTTCTATTGCAATTGACAACGATCAGGGTATGAACAAATTCTTACTCCAGATCTTGTTCAAAAATTAATTTCGGATCAAGACAATATTATAAAAATCCTTATACATTATCAAAAGATTTTTTAGAAGAACAAACTTAACAATCTAAAGAACAAATGTCATTAAGAAAATTCACTATAAAAAGGAGAGAGACAATTTTTGATGATTTTATAGTTTTTCTCCAAGAAAATAAGGATTGCATGGATTGATGGAAGAAGGTCTGATCAATCAACTTTCATCAAGTCATGCAAATGAATAATTCTTAAGAGTGAATTGATACCATGTATAAAGAGATAAAGTCCATAAAAGACAATATTGTTTGGGAACTCATCCCATTGCCTAAAGGTGCAAACTCTATTGATTGCGAATGAATATTTAAAATTAAGAGGGATTGAAGGGTAATGTGGAGAGAGATATAAAACTCGTCTTGTAGCAAATATTTTTACTCAACAGGGTATTGATATTAAAGAGACTTTTTCTCTAGTTTTCATGAAAGACTCTTTCAGGATTATTATGCATTTGTAACATATCTTGATCTTAAACTACGTAAAATGGTTTACAAATTAAAGAAATACATTTATGGGCTTAAACAACTTTCCGTCTATGGTATTACAAATTTCATCAAATAATTATCTCATTTGGTTTTTAATGAATCCAGTTGATGATTGTAAATATCATAAATTTAGTGGTAGTAAAAATATTTTTTGGTATTGTATGTAGATGATATATTGTTTGTCTACAATGATATAGGCTTGTTGCATAAAATCAAGAGATTTCTGTCATGAAATTTTGAAATGAAAGATCTTTATGACACATTTTTTATGTCAAGGATACAAATACACCAGAATCGTTCTCGGGGTATTTTTGGATTATTATAGAAGAGATGCATCGATAAGGTTCTTAAGAGACTTGAGAAAATGAACATCTCGTACAAAGCCTTACCCTAGAATATATAATGAATATCATCATTGACGACAGAGGCCCTCTTTAAAATATAGGAAATCTAAGCTATGGCTAAAATCTCAACTTCTTTACTAGCTTCTAGTTCTTGTCATTTAGGAGGAACGGGAAGCTTTTTAAAGAAGTGAAAATATGTCGATGGTAATCGAATAGTTAAATAAATTAAATATATATT